CAACAAAGTAGTTAATAGACTAGTCAACAAAGTAGTAAATAGACTATTCCATAGACCAGTCCGTAGACTGATATACAGGCTAGGGCATAAGCTAGTAAATAGAGCAATCTAGTCAAAAAAGTACTCCATAGACTAGACTTAATCATAGACGTTACAATTGACTAGTTCATGGACAAGTCAATAGACTTGTTAACAGTCTAGTCAATAAACTACTACAAAGACTGAATATTATACTAGTCCACATACTCTTTAATAGACTAGTCAACAGATTACCAATAGACTAGTCAACAGGCTAGTCCGTAGACTAGTCAATATCCTAAGCAATGTACTAGTCAATAGTGTAATACCCATACTTGTTAATGAACTAGTCCATAACCTATAAAATAGACTACTCCATAGACCAGTCCCTAGATTAGTTCACAAACTGGGCCATAGACTAGTAAATAGAGCAATCTAGTAAAAAAAACACTCCATAGACTAGTCCGTAGTCAACTCCATAGACTGGTCCGTAGACAAGCCCATAGAAAAGTTGATAGTTTAGTCTCTAGACAAATCCATACACTAGTTTATTGACTGTGTATTATTCCATAGACAAGTCACTAAACCTGTCACACTCATCCATAGACGAGTCAATTGAATAGTTCATGGACAAGTCAATAGACTTGCTAACAGTCTAGTCCAAAAACTAGTTTATAGATCAATCCATCGACTAGTAAATAGACTGGTCCAAAATAAATAATAAAGTTAGACAACTGATACAAGGAGAGAACTGAAAAGGTACTTTTAATCTTAATAAAATTATCAATTCGATCCATTCAATAAATATGTACATAGTTAAGAAATAGAAGAAAACAATAAAAATATTTTATTAATTTAATTATTTTTTTATTTTCACTTGATTTATACTTTTATTTTTTGTATATTGTGTTACAATGTTTATTAATTATAATTATATTAATGAAAGGAAAAAGTTATAATGATAAATTATAAAAACTTAAATGAAATTAAATCAAATTTATAAACAAACAAATTATTATACATTATACAATTAAAAAAAAAAATGAAATAATTTTTTAAACAATTAATTATATAAACTTAAAGAAAATATATTTTTTTTTTCAAAAAATATTTATCTTTTACAATCAAAAACATTTAAATAATTTTAAATGACTAATTATGGAAATGATAATGTAAATGTTAAGAATAGTTTGAAAACTTAATAAAGGTTTTAAATAAAATAACATGTAGAATGTAGGATGTAATGGTTTTTGTCCAAAAAGGGTTAAATTTTGAATATTTCTTTTGGAATTAACTCGAATCGTTTAAATTTTAACTTATTTTAGTATGTACTTGGTTCTGAATGATCATATTACGATATATTTTAGCATTATAGATTCTCTAGTCCACAGAATGTAGACCCTAAAGTCCAAAATATATTAATATTCTATTATTCACAAAATATAGACTCTATAGTCCACAGATTGTAGTCTTTTTCATCATTTCGAAATCGGGCGTCTAAAATAGAATGAATAAAGGGTGGTTTTAAAAAAATTTTACTAAACATTTAAAGTTTTTAAACATTTTGAAATATTTTACGAAATAACCCTTTTTAAATCATTGTGGTCCCTCAGTCCTGGTGCATAGAACAGTCAATATACTGACTAGTCTCTAGACTGATTCAAAGGCTAGTCCATAGACTAGTAAATAGACAAACCAATCAAGGCAATATCTAATAGACAAGTGAAATACAAGTCAACAGATTACTTAAGAAAATACTCAATGGTCTAGTCTGTAGACTTGTCTGTAGCCTATTGAATAGCGTAGTCCCTAGACTGATTCACAGACTACTCAATAGACTAGTCCGTAGAATAGTCAACAGACTAATTTGTAGATTAGTCCATAGTCTTATTCGTAGACTTAACCGTAGACTATTGAATAGTCTACTTCTCCATAGACTTGTCAATATACTAGTAAATACACTACTCTCTAGACTAGTACCAGACTAATCAATGGACATCTAATCAATAGATTTCTCCATAGACTTGTCATCATACTAGTCAATACACTACTCTATAGACTAGTCCGAGACTAATCAATGGACATTTCCATAGACTTTTCAATAGACTTAATCCCTGAACTAGTCAATAGACTAAACAGTATACAAGTCCACAGATTAGTCAATACATTGGTCCATAGACTAGTTCCTAGATTGGTTACAGATCGGTTCTTAAACTACTGCATGGACTAGTCAATAGACAAGTCCATATATACTAATTAATAGACTACTGAATTTGCAAGTCAACTCAATATATTATTAAATGGTTTACTCCGTAGCCCAGTCAGTTGTCTAGTCCGTAGACCAGTCAATAAACTAGTTCCCAGATTGATTCACTACTTCACAGAATAGTTAATATTTAATAGACTAGTGAATATACAAGTCAACAGATTACTCAAGAGAATACCCAATAGTCTTGTCCTTAGCCTAGTCAATAGCATAGATTAGTCAATAGGCTACTCCATAGACATGTCAATAGACTGCACTATACACTACTCCATTGACTGGTCCCTAGACTAATCGCTAAACACTTCCATAAACTTTTCAGTAGACTACTCCATAAACTAATCCCTGGACTAGTCCATAGACTTAACAGTAGATTAGTCAATAGACTGGTCCACAGAGTAGGCAATAGACTGCTCCACAAACTAGTTCGTAGACTTGTCAATAGACTAGTTCCCCGACTGCCTCACAGACTAGTCCATAGACTACTAAAAAGACCAATCAACAGACTAGTCAATAAACTACTCCAAAGACTGATCCATATACCTTTTAATAGACTAGTGAATATACTAGTCAACAGATAACTCAAAGAGACTATTCAATATATTATTAGACAAGTTAATAGACTAGACCCTAGAATGCAAGACCAATAGACTAAAAGAATAGTCAATAAACTAGTCCATTACTTTTTAATACAATAGGGAGAGAATATACTAGTCAACAGATAACTCAAGGGACTACTCAATAGATTTCCTTGAGTTATCTGTTGACTAGTATATTCCCTCCCTATTGTATTAAAAAGTAATGGACTAGTTTATTGACTATTCTTTTAGTCTATTAGTCTTTCATTCTAGGGCCTAGTCTATTAACTTGTCTAATAATATATTGAATAGTCTCTTTGAGTTATCTGTTGACTAGTATCTATTAAATAGTTTAGTCTGTACCCTAGTCCATAGATCAGTCAATATACTGAATAATATACTAGTTCCTAGACTGGTTCACAGACTAGTGTATAGACTAGTAAATAGACCAATCAATAGACTAGTCCATAAACTACTCCATAGAATAGTCCATATATTTACTATTACAAAGGCTACTCAAAGATTAGTCTGTAGACAAGTCCATAATCTAATCAGTAGGCTAGTCAACAGATTAGTCCGTAGATTAGTCAATGGTCTAATTCCTAGAATAAACCTTAGAATAGTAGACTTCTCCATAGACTAGTAGTCAATTGGCTACTCCATAGACTAGTCCCTAGAATCGATTTCATAAAAAGATTAGGAAATTATACAAACATTTTTTAAATATTTACTATTTGTTCTTTCTTTTTAGAAAACAGGCTTCTTCTTTACTAATAATTAAAAGAATTTAGAATTAACTTATTTTGGAAATAAAATAACAAAAACTCTGTTTAAAATGTTTGTTTTTTTCTTCTTGTTTTTTGTTTTATTTTGTGTTTTTTAATAATAAAAGACTTAAAACAATTGATTATTTATTAATTAAATTGAAAGAAAACAATTAATAAAAATTATAATAATAATTAGCATAATATTATTATGTACAATGAAAAAATTAAACAATTAATTAATAAAGTATTAAATTTATTTAATAATTTTTATTTATATTAAGCAAGTTTTGAAACAGGCATAGAACTTATAATTTTGGAAATTTTATAAAAAAAATTAACAATATCATTTAAATAAAATTACAAAAAAAAGGAAATTGAAATTATTTATTTTTATTATAATAAGCCTGTTGTTAATTAATAATATTTTGTGTTTTAACTTTGTTTTAATATTTTAATATGTTTTTAATGTTTTTCTTACAAATTTTTGTTTCAAATTTTGTTAAAATATTTGTTATTTAAATGTTTTCTTATTTTCTTTAATTTGTTTTTTGTTTAATTAATTTGTTTGCTGTTTAATTTTCTTTTCAAAAGATCTCAGTTTAAATTTGGATTATTTATTGTTTTCTCACTACGTTTTTATTCTTCTTCTGGTTTTAAACTTTTCTTTTTTTTTTTGTTAATTTTATATTGAATGTTAACAATATTTCTTTTTCTTTTTGTTATTTAAAAATCTTTATTATTAAGTTTTATTTTATAATTAATTTGTTTTTGTTTTTATTTTATTTTTCATGTTTAATCTTAATGGAATCTTGTTTTTAACATTTAAGTTGTGTTAATCTAAAAGTTTACTTTTATTTCTTACTTTCTTTTCTTAATAAAAAAAAAGACAACTCAGCTCAATTTTTTGAAATTTAAAAAAGCTCGACTTTTAAGGAATTTTTATAAAATATCAAAGGAAATTTTACAAAAATAATAACTTAAGGCTTTATTAGACAAATAAACAAAATTATTATTTAAAAATAAGTTGCAAATAATAGAAAAAAAAAAACAAAACTTTTTACCAAACAAAACATTTACTTATAGCAATTTTTATAGATCTTCTTAAAATACAAATTTTCCTAAATTCCTTAAAAGTCTTTTATCTTTTCCTTTGTGAATCTGCTGTTTTTGTTATTGTATTTTAGCTGAATAAATTTTTTGTTTTTTTTTTATTTGTTGTTGGCTTAATATGAGTTGTAGTTCTTGAAACCCATTAGTTTTTCTTTCGTTTACTAATTTTACAATATTTTATTTTTTTAAATTTTGAGTTGATTTTTTTATTTTGCAGTTTGTTTTTTTTTTGCATTTTTTTTTGTAATTTTTTGTGAGTTTTACAATTTTTATGTATTTTTTTTTATTTTTTTAAATTTTTTGACTTTTTTTCATTTAAAATTTTTTATATTTTGTTGCACAAAATTTTGTTGGGTATGGAGTTTTTGTTGTTGTTAATTTCTGCCATTGCAATTGTCATGGCCTATGGAACCTGTTAGAAAAAAAAGAGGGGAATTAATAAAAGTTTTAATTTTTTTAAAGAAATTTTTGAAATTTTAGTATTGCAGCCGTCTACAGTATAGTCTATAGTCTAGTCTATAGTCTAGTCTAGTCTATAGTCTAGTCTAGTCTATAGTCTAGTCTAGTCTAGTCTATAGTCTAGTCTATAGTCTAGTCTATAGTCTAGTCTATAGTCTAGTCTATAGTCTAGTCTATAGTCTAGTCTATAGTCTAGTCTATAGTCTAGTCTATAGTCTAGTCTATAGTCTAGTCTATAGTCTAGTCTATAGTCTAGTCTATAGTCTAGTCTAGTCTAGTCTAGTCTATAGTCCTAGTCTATAGTCTAGTCTATAGTCTAGTCTATAGTCTAGTCTATAGTCTAGTCTATAGTCTAGTCTATAGTCTAGTCTATAGTCTAGTCTATAGTCTAGTCTATAGTCTAGTCTATAGTCTAGTCTATAGTCTAGTCTATAGTCTAGTCTATAGTCTAGTCTATAGTCTAGTCATAGTCTATAGTCTAGTCTATAGTCTAGTCTATAGTCTAGTCTATAGTCTAGTCTATAGTCTAGTCTAGTCTAGTCTATAGTCTAGTCTATAGTCTAGTCTATAGTCTAGTCTATAGTCTAGTCTATAGTTCTAGTCTATAGTCTAGTCTATAGTAGTCTAGTCAGTCTATAGTCTAGTCTATAGTCTAGTCTATAGTCTAGTCTATAGTCTAGTCTATAGTCTAGTCTATAGTCTAGTCTATAGTCTAGTCTATAGTCTAGTCTATAGTCTAGTCTATAGTCTAGTCTATAGTCTAGTCTATAGTCTAGTCTATAGTCTAGTCTATAGTCTAGTCTATAGTCTAGTCTATAGTCTAGTCTATAGTCTAGTCTATAGTCTAGTCTATAGTCTAGTCTATAGTCTAGTCTATAGTCTAGTCTATAGTCTAGTCTATAGTCTAGTCTATAGTCTAGTCTATAGTGTAGTCTATAGTCTAGTCTATAGTGTAGTCTATAGTGTAGTCTATAGTGTAGTCTATAGTCTAGTCTATAGTCTAGTCTATAGTCTAGTCTATAGTCTAGTCTATAGTCTAGTCTATAGTCTAGTCTATAGTCTAGTCTATAGTCTAGTCTATAGTCTAGTCTATAGTCTAGTCTATAGTCTAGTCTATAGTCTAGTCTATAGTCTAGTCTATAGTATAGTCTATAGTCTAGTCTATAGTCTAGTCTATAGTCTAGTCTATAGTCTAGTCTATAGTCTAGTCTATAGTCTAGTCTATGGTCTAGTCTATAGTCTAGTCTATAGTCTAGTCTATAGTCTAGTCTACAGTCTAGTCTATAGTCTAGTCTATAGTCTAGTCTATAGTCTAGTCTATAGTCTAGTCTATAGTCTAGTCTATAGTCTAGTCTATAGTCTAGTCTAGTCTATAGTCTAGTCTAGTCTATAGTCTAGTCTAGTTTATAGTCTAGTCTAGTTTATAGTCTAGTCTATAGTCTAGTCTATAGTCTAGTCTAGTTTATAGTCTAGTCTATAGTCTAGTCTATAGTCTAGTCTATAGTCTAGTCTATAGTCTAGTCTATAGTCTAGTCTATAGTCTAGTCTATAGTCTAGTCTATAGTCTAGTCTATAGTCTAGTCTATAGTCTAGTCTATAGTCTAGTCTGTAGTCTAGTCTATAGTCTAGTCTGTAGTCTAGTCTATAGTCTAGTCTATAGTCTAGTCTATAGTCTAGTCTATAGTCTAGTCTATAGTCTAGTCTATAGTCTAGTCTATAGTCTAGTCTATAGTCTAGTCTATAGTCTAGTCTATAGTCTAGTCTATAGTCTAGTCTATAGTCTAGTCAGTCTACAGTCTAGTCTATAGTCTAGTCTATAGTCTAGTCTATGGTCTAGTCTATAGTCTAGTCTATAGTCTAGTCTATAGTCTAGTCTATAGTCTAGTCTATAGTCTAGTCTGTAGTCTAGTCTATAGTCTAGTCTATAGTCTAGTCTATAGTCTAGTCTATAGTCTAGTCTATAGTCTAGTCTATAGTCTAGTCTATAGTCTAGTCTATAGTCTAGTCTATAGTCTAGTCTAGCTTATAGTCTAGTCTAGTTTATAGTCTAGTTTAGTTTATAGTCTAGTCTAGTTTATAGTCTAGTCTATAGTCTAGTCTATAGTCTAGTCTAGTTTATAGTCTAGTCTATAGTCTAGTCTATAGTCTAGTCTATAGTCTAGTCTATAGTATAGTCTATAGTCTAGTCTATATTCTAGTCTATCATCTAGTCTATAGTCTAGTCTATAGTCTAGTCTATAGTATAGTCTATAGTCTAGTCTATAGTCTAGTCTATAGTCTAGTCTATAGTCTAGTCCATAGTCTAGTCTATAGTCTAGTCTATAGTCTAGTCTATAGTCTAGTCTATAGTCTAGTCTATAGTCTAGTCTATAGTCTAGTCTATAGTCTAGTCAATAGTCTAGTCTATAGTCTAGTCTATAGTCTAGTCTATAGTCTAGTCTATAGTCTAGTCTATAGTCTAGTCTATAGTCTAGTCTATAGTCTAGTCTATAGTCTAGTCTATAGTCTAGTCTATAGTCTAGTCTATAGTCTAGTCTATAGTCTAGTCTATAGTCTAGTCTATAGTCTAGTCTATAGTCTAGTCTAGTCTATAGTCTAGTCTATAGTCTAGTCTATAGTCTAGTCTATAGTCTAGTCTATAGTCTAGTCTATAGTCTAGTCTATAGTCTAGTCTATAGTCTAGTCTATAGTCTATTCTATAGTCTAGTCTATGGTCTAGTCTATAGTCTTGTCTATAGTCTAGTCTATGATCTGGTCTATAATAGAATACTATTAAAAAAAACTTTACCTTGTTAAATGCCGACTGCCCTCGTGTACTGCCATTTCGCTTGATTTAAATTCATTTAATTCTTTACGTATGGCAGCCTTATCCTTTGGTGTCAGTCTTGTCCATGGCTTATCGGCTCGACGATCATAATCGTGAGCTTGGGTCACTTCAATATAATCATTGAAACGTATAATTTTCTTTTCTTTCAGCTCCTCGACGGTGGGTCGAAAACTCAACTTACGCAATAAATATGATTTTTTCTCTTCTTTTTGCTTTTTCTCTTCGGCGGGTGTTGTTGCTAATGAAATATTAAAATAAAAAAATTATAACAAAATATTCGAAAATAATCTAGTGAAAAACTTACTCTTTAAAATATTACGTTCCACCAATTCATCGGCTGTGGGTCGCATCGATAAACGTCTTATTAATCTTGCTCCTATGGCCTCCTTACTCTCCTTAATCTCATTATCATTGACCGGATGCAAGATATTGCGATTAATTAGATCCTGTTTGTCAGGACGTAATTGCAATTTCAATGATAACGATTCCTTGCGCGCTATTTTGGCTTGACGTGATGTATCATCATCACGATAGAGTACACGACTGCCATCTTCATCACTGCTATCACTACTCGTTTCTCGTATCACATATGGCCGTGTATTCTCCTTATTTTCCATGGTACATGGTAAATTAATGTTAAACATTTGTTGCCTACTGTTTGAAGCAAAATAAACACGAATGAAAATATAAGAGAGAAGAGAAAAAAACAAAGAATAAAGAAAATATCAAAGTTAGTCTTTTTTGTATTACTATATATGATTAGTCAGTATTACAATATATATAGTATGTTGGTATTGAATAGTAAATTGTGGTTGGAGTGTTATTCTACACATGGAGGTGATAAATATAAAATTAAATTGATTTTTTTATACTTGGATAAACATGCATGAAAAAAGTGCGAGGAAATAATGCGAAATCTTGTTTTATAAAAAAATTTAAAACACATCATTTCTTTTGATTTTTTTTAAATTATTTTCTGAAAGCCTTTTGTTTAAAAGCTAGCGAAAGAGTGCTTTATTTAGAACCATCGGTACAGAGCTTTCTATAAAAAGGGGTCTAGAGCCAGCGTAAGATCTCTACAACTAGCGACACATAGTTCTTTAATGATATTGAAATGCTTTTGTAGAAAAGCCAATAGAAGAGAGCTTTATATAAATTTATCGATAAAAGCTTTCAATAGAAAAGGCCAGAGAAAGATCTCTACAACCAGAGATACAAAGTTTTCTAAAGAGAAATGTAGAAATATAGAAAGGAGCCAGCGAAAGATCTCTACAAACAGCGATTCAGAGTGATACTAAACAATACAATCTGCGACTGACCTAGAGCCATCGACATTTCCAGAAATGTGTTTAAAATCAGCTATAGAAAGCTTTCTATAGAAAAGCTTTTCATAGAAAGCCGCCAAGAGCTAGCAATAAAGAGCTTTTTATAGAAAAGTGTCTTGAGCCAGCTACAAACACAGCGATAGAGAACTTTCTACAGCTGCTTAGAGCTAACGATAGAAAAGTGTCTAGAGCTAGCATAAAGTTTTATAAAATGGCTTCTAGAGCCAGCGATAGAGACCCGTATTTAGGACCATCGAAAGAGAGTATTCTGTAGAAAAAAGTGTCTAGAGTCAGCTAGAGATAGTTTTCTCTAGAAAACTTCAAGAATCAGTAATAGATATCTTTCTATAGAAGTTTGCCTGGTGTCATTTACAGAGGCAATGATATACAGCTTTCTATAGAAAGCGGCCTAGAGCCAGCGATAGAAAGCTTTTTATAGAAATTGTGTAGAACTTTTTATAGAAAGGTATACAGAGTCAGCGATATAAAATGATCTAGAGCAAGTTTTCTAGAGAGCTTTCTATAAAGAGATACAGAGTTTTTTATAGAAAGCTTTTTAGAGATCCTTGTATACAAATTTGAGTAGAGTCATCGATTTAGAGCTTTTTATAGAATGTTGTCTACAACCAGCCATTAAGAGCTTTCTATAAAAAACTGTCTAGATATATTTCTATAAATAATTAACTAAAACCAACAAACTTCTATAGGAAGGTGTCTACTGCTAGCAGCAGAGAGCTTTTTAAGGAAAGCTCTGTAGCCAACGTTATAGAGCTTTTTATGAAGAAGTCTCTAGAGACAGTTATAATGAGCTTTTTTTTATAGAAAATCGTCTTAAACCAGAGATAAAGAGTTTTATAAAGAAAAAACGATCCTTCTAAACAAATTCGAGTAGTCAGCGATTTAAAGCTTTTTATAGAATCTTGTCTACTGCCAGCAATTGACACCTTTCTATAAAAAGCTATCTAGAGATATTTCTATAAATAATTGACTAAAACCAACACCTGAGAGCTTTCTATAGGAAGGTTTATACAGCGAGCAGCAGATAGCTTTTTATGGAAAGCTGTCTTGGCCTGTGATAAAACTTTAGCCTGTGATAAAACTGTAGCCAAAGTTTTTAGAGCTTTTTATGAAGAAGTCTTTATATGAAGTTATAATGAGCTTTTTCTTTTAGAAAATTGTCTTAAACCAGAGATAAAGAGCTTTCTAAAGAATGTCTCAATAGAATAGTTAGAAAAACATCTAGAGAGCTAGTGATAGAAAGCTTTCTCCAGAAACAATTTTAAATGATAATGAGATTTTCTTCCTGAACTTATTTTCAAACAGTTTTTATAAAAAAAATATGGTTAAACTATTCGAGAAATAGAGACCTAGTAAAAAACGTTGCATATTTTATAGCGTTCCATACAATAAGCATAAAAAAGTCCTTTTTTGCATTAGTTTTTCAACTAAACAAGTTTAATTTTTTTACTTTTATATCTCATAGAAAAAGACCCTAGATTAAATGACTTTTTGTCTGTTTCATGTTCAATTGAAATAAAATTCTAATATCCAATTTGACCTTTTGGACAAATAAAGACTTAAATCATTATACATATATGAAAAATAAAGAAAACAAAAAAACTAGTTTAAATTGATTTATAAATAATTGAAATAAATTTTTCTTTCATTTATCATCTTTTCTCTTTCTTTTTTTTAACAAAATTTATATTAGATAAATCTTAAATACTAAATGGCAAAGAAAGATGTTGATGAAAATTTATATAAATAGAATTAGAATTTTAATATTTAAAATTTGTGCATCATAATCATCATCATCACCATCAAGACATCAAATTGTAAAATGATTAAATATTATGACAGTTATTTTTCAATGTAAATATACATATGACCTTTTTAGGGCCTCGTGTGTTATTTCTTTTTAAAGGAATAACGTCAGTAATTGATGTCAGTTTAAATTTATTTGATTTTAATTATGTACAACATTATTTTGTAAATATGGCAAAATATTTAATATTAATGAATTTTTTTTCTTTAAATTTTCTTTTTAGGTATGTTTATTTTTATATTTTTATATCGTCAGATAAAGGTGAGTGCGAAAAAAAGGAATTTTCCCAATTTACCAATCAAAATCTATGTATATTAATACTCAAAACAAAACAACAAAATATATTTGATTGGGTTAATAAGTAAGTCCCACTCTCTCTTTTCTAAATACACAAATAAGCATAATAAAAACATTATAATTGGATGTATAACTAAAGGAATATCTTAAAATCGTCTTTCTCTTCATGCTTCGACTTGCACAGACTCCTTGCACAGGCATGTCAACATTTGTAGCATTTTACAAATATAAAATAACGCTTGATTGTAATTTATCACGCACGTCCTTGGTTAACAAAAAAATAATAAAAATGTGAACAAAAATCGTTCATTTTCTAACTAATACCATAACAAAATCACAACAGATGTGAATTGACAGGAAGACGGACTTTAAAGTTTCTTTTTACTAATGTAGACTAGACTATAGTCGATACTATTGTTACCTAGACAGGACTATAGTCCAAACTATTGACTAGCCTTCCTAGAGCGAAGACTATAAACTATCCTATAGTCAAGATTATAGAATAGACTATAGACTAGGCTATGACTAAACTATAGACTAGATCATAGGCAAGACTAGAGCGAAGACTATAAACTATCCTATAGTCAAGATTATAGAATAGACTATAGACTAGGCTATAGACTAAACTATAGACTACATCATAGGCAAGACTATAGGCTAGACTATAGAGTAGACTATAGAATAGACTATAGAATAGACTATAAACTAGACTATAGAATAGACTATATAATAGACTATAGACTAGACTATAGAATAGACTATAAACTAGACTATAGAATAGACTATATAATAGACTATAGACTAGACTATAGAATAGACTATAAACTAGACTATAGACAATACTATAGACTAGACTATAGTCTAGACTATAGACTAGACTATAGTCTAGACTATAGACTAGACTATAGACTAGACTATAGACTAGACTATAGACTAGACTATAGACTAGACTATAGACTAGACTATAGACTAGACTATAGACTAGACTATAGACTAGACAATAGACTAGACTATAGACTAGACTATAGACTAGACTATAGACTAGACTATAGACTAGACTATAGACTAGACTATAGACTAGAGTAAAGACTAGACTATAGACTAGACTATAGACTAGACTATAGACTAGACTATAGACTAGACTATAGACTAGACTATAGACTAGACTATAGACTAGACTATAGACTAGACTATAGACTAGACTATAGACTAGACTATAGACTAGACTATAGACTAGACTATAGACTAGAATATAGACTAGACTATAGACTAGAATATAGACTAGACTATAGACTATAGACTAGAATATAGACTAGACTATAGACTATAGACTAGAATATAGACTAGACTATAGACTAGAATATAGACTAGACTATAGACTAGACTATAGACTAGACTATAGACTAGACTATAGACTAGACTATAGACTAGACTATAGACTAGACTATAGACTAGACTATAGACTAGACTATAGACTAGACTATAGACTAGACTATAGACTAGACTATAGACTAGACTAGACTATAGACTAGACTATAGACTAGACTATAGACTAGACTACTATAGACTAGACTATAGACTAGACTATTACTAGACTATAGACTATAGACTAGACTAAGACTAGACTATAGACTAGACTATAGACTAGACTATAGACTAGACTATAGACTAACTATAGACTAGACTATAGACTAGACTATAGACTAGACTATAGACTAGACTATAGACTAGACTATAGACTAGACTATAGACTAGACTATAGACTAGACTATAGACTAGACTATAGACTAGACTATAGACTAGACTATAGACTGACTATAGACTAGACTATAGACTAGACTATAGACTAGACTATAGACGAGACTATAGACTAGCTATAGACTAGACTATAGACTAGACTATAGACTAGACTATAGACTAGACTATAGACTAGACTATAGACTAGACTATAGACTAGACTATAGACTAGACTATAGACTAGACTATAGACTAGACTATAGACTAGACTATAGACTAGACTATAGACTAGACTATAGACTAGACTAGACTATAGACTAGACTATAGACTAGACTATAGACTAGACTAGAGTATAGACTAGACTATAGACTAGAGTATAGACTAGAGTATAGAGTAGACTATAGACTAGAGTATAGACTAGAGTATAGACTAGAGTATAGACTAGACTATAGACTAGACTATAGAC